CCCCCGGGGGGGGGATCGTCGCATTCCAACACCTCTGCAGTCTTTTTTTATTAATTAGTGAATAAATCGTTCAGCTGTTCAGTATTTTAATGCAACGGTAAGACTTCAAGGACAACGGCGGGGGTGGAGGTAGGGAGTAGCTTTTTTTCTGAATATTTTACAGGCCCTTGGTTTACAGACATAAACCTCCCCGAAACATCGAGAGCACAAAAGCCACGCGGTGTTTAGAGAGTATATAAAGGAATTACAAGTAAATTTGTCTTTTCCTCTTCTTTCTGGCGGATGTGGTTTATCTTATATTAAGTTATCGAGGATTAAGAACTTCCTAACATCAAGACTGAAGAACAAACAATGTCAGCAAAAAACCACAATGAAAAGTCGTGAAACAATAATCGATATTCTCGCTAATAGTGGATTGCTTTCAAACATCCAACCTAGGTTACCCGGTTTTCTTCTTGCTAGAAAACTCTTATGTTTTCCTGTATCAAATATATGCCTGTCCTATATGTTGGTAAACTTTAGTCCTCAAGCGCGTGTTCGCTCTGTCTAGATTGATTTTGTCTGGAGATTTGAAAAATGTCCACTTAAACTTATGAAAATTACACAACTATAAAAGGCGGTTTTGATGGTTTCATTCACTTATTGGCTGCCTTACTCGTCAAAAGCTAAGTCTCGCGGGATTCTGGCCTCGGACCAGATAAATAAACCGAAGTGATGAATCGAGCGAATGTGTAAGTCGCATTGAACTATTGCATAAATTACTTTCTTTAAACCACTAAATAAATGTTACCATGTCAAAGCGAACGATCTGTGGTCAAAGAGAATAGCAATGATAATGTTTTTATGTAGACGCAGTCAATATTAGTTTTGTTGCCCCAATCAACACACAATGTCCAAATTCAAATTGACTCCTCTGTCTCGTTATTGAAATAATGTAACGGGCTAAGCTGTCCTGGGCCTGTAAGCGCTTATATCGGTTTCAGTCATATGAAAAGAGTTATCTAAACCTCGGCACTGTTGCCGATGCCCATTGATACATCCGGGCGTAGAGAGGCACCGTGATTACCTACATAAGCAATACTTTTCCACTACAGACTGTCTCACTTTCCCTATTAAACCGTGGAGTAAGACTCTGGCTTGTAAGCTTCTTCCTTCAGCACTGACACAAACAAATAATAACGTGAAAGCGGAAGACTGCAGTTAGTCACAGTTGACTTTTCAATATCTGCTAAAAATTGAAACATTTTGTTCCGTTAAAAAACAGTGTTATGTCGCGTAAAGCTTGAAACGAGCAAAATTGTATCAAAGAAACTTCAAAGGTTTCATGGAAACTCAGTAACTACTAAACTAGTACTAGTGTAACTTGTCATTAACCAGCAAAAAACCTTGGAAACGGTGTTTGTCGTAGTATTTGAGCTTTTAATTTTAAGGTCTGTTGTATTCTAGCGTTTAAGTCACCAAGAGACAATAACCCATTGTTTAGGGCTTCTTAAAAGTTTGGATAAACTACTCGCAAAAAAAAAAAGAAAAAACTTACGGTGATTTATCGCTTACTGGCTTCGTTCAACGGACTGCTGCAATCAAGTTACAGTACGTATCTAAATTTATACTCCCATCAGACTTTCTTGAAGGGTTTATTCCGGCGGTTCTTTCCGGCATGGCTGTTTCCTACTGGTTATGTCTTTTTTTCGTGGGATTCTCAGTGATGGCGTTTCAGAGTTATTCTCAAGGTGGGTTAGAGAAATCTTTTCTTCACGAGTAGAATCCAAGAGATTGAAATTTCCAGTAGTTAAACTTACTAATGTACAATCCCTGCTAGCTATAGAGATCTGGGCGGGACTGAAGCTGATCTGATCACACTTCGCCCGAAATTTACAAACTATGCTGTTGTTGTTGTCTTTTTTTAAATTTCTGGAAAAAAAATTTATTTCAAATTGACTTTGATCTCTGAAACTAGCCTGAAAACGCATCTGAGAAATCTTCGAGATCTGGACTCGGCAAAAAGCGAGCTCGTTGTCTCTTTTTGCAGGCCTAGCTGTAGTGAACCGAGAAACAGAGCTGATGCAGCGAAACTTACATTACATGTCGCCTACGGCATATAATAAGTAAGGGGTCTTTAAAATTGATTTGCTGGCGTAGTTTACACTAATTTGGCAACTCAAGTTAAGAAGCAAGTTAATAACTAAGTTATGTTATGGCAACAATATTTCAAGGTGTAAAAATTAAGATTCCAAAACAAAGGTCGCATTTTTCTTAACGTTTATAAGTTAAATTATAAAATGAATTATTAAGGCTATGTAATTAAGTTAGAGATGTTGAAGACTTCTGTCAGTGAAGAATGTTAGCTCACCTAAAGGTAATAAAGAAGGTTTACATATTTAAGTTTTGAACAATAACAAAACGGAAACAGACAGGGGGACGTTGTTAGACTTGCTCTAAGGGTGAGTACTGGAGTGGATCAAGAGAGCGCGCCATCTTGCATTCGACGCTTCCAAGTGAAGTAGTATGCAGTCGTGTCAAGACCTCTTTAAACTGCGCTTGATTCAGAGACACATAGTCTATCAGAAATATCAAGAAACCATAATTGTGCTCGTTGAGAAGGTTTATCAAAACTATCTCGATTTGGTGTAAAAAATCGGAACGATCGACATTGAGCAAGTCTGCTGAGAGAAATGCTTACGTTTGATTGCATGCTGTTTAAGTCGCCCACTTCATTCAAAAGAACGTACAATTGATTTTAAACGTTTCTGTTTGATCATTGAAGGAGTTTGTCCAAACAGCTGGAATTACTTACAAGGTTCATGCTACAATTTTTTTTCCAAGGCAACGAGCTGGACTGCAGCAAAATCCGCCTGTGAAGCACTCGGTGCCAAGCTTGTCGTGTTAAACTCATTCACTGAAAACCGAGCAGTTGGCGAAAAAATAACAGGAGGACGGGGAACATATATTGGTTTGTACAGGAATCCAAGAGACAAGTCTCGCTGGCTGTGGGTTGACCAATCACGTTCAACTTATACTCATTGGAATGGTGGAGAACCTAACANGTACAGGAATCCAAGAGACAAGTCTCGCTGGCTGTGGGTTGACCAATCACGTTCAACTTATACTCATTGGTATGGTGGAGAACCTAACAATGCTGGGGGAAGTGAGGATTGCGTACACATGCGTCCTAAGTCATCCCGATATGAATGGAATGACTTACCTTGTAATAACGTCTACAATTTCCCTTACGTTTGCGAAACCACGGGTAAGTCAGGAAGCGTCATGTTAGATATTGCGTAACTTAATGCTAAATTTATTTATCAAAGCTTATCAAGATTAAACACGAATAACAGAAGTGTTGGGCCAAGCCTAATATATAAAAAGAAAGAGTCGAGCAATGTGCTAATCACATCACAATTTATAGCGAATTAGCAAGCATTACTGGTTCAAGTTTTCTGCCGCCTCTGGACAAAGCCCCAGTCAAAGTGCCTGACCTTTACATACTTAGATTGAATATTCAGCATAGTATTTTGTCGCCTTTTAAGTCTAAACAGTTCTTAAGATGCTTTCTTTAAAGTTACCGTGTCCAATCCTTTCTTACGCTTTTAATAGTTCTGAATGAAGAGTGATAACAATGGGTTGGCAGGCCTACACAACTCCTATCCACGTGTAATAGCCGCTTTGAGAGTTTTGC